TAGTCCTGATGGCTTCCCTTTCGTGGTCGGCGGTCAGTTCGAAAGCGTCACCTCGCAGCATCCATCCGCCATCCAAATATTCCAGTTATGGCAGATCTACCTAAATAATGTTAACCCTCTTCTCAAGCTTACACATACACCAACGTTGCAAGTGCGGATTATCGAGGCCGGAGCAAGCCTCGACAAGGTGTCTAGGTCCCTCGAGGCGTTAATGTTTTCAATCTACCTAATGGCTATCACAAGTATAGACGAAGAAGAATGCCAAGCCACGTTTAACGAATCGAGAATCAACTTGCTGGCCAAGTATTATTATGCTACACAGCAAGCCCTTCTAAATGCAGGCTTTATGCGCAACCCGGATCTCACCTCGCTGCAAGCTTACCTTTTATATCTTGTAAGCTTAATATCGCCTCGTGTACTTGAGGTCTAGGTCTGACGTATATCAGATGGGTATCCGGCAGTATTCGGACCCCCGCTCATTGTTTTGCTTAACTGGAATTGGTGTGCGCCTTGCCCAGAGGATGGGTTTGCATCGTGATGGCGCTCAATTTAATCTATCTCCGTTCGAAGTGGAAGAGAGGAGACGACTATGGTGGAACCTCGCTGGGTTTGACCGACGAATAGGAGAACTATGTGGTTCTATAATCACCGCCATATCCAATGGGGGTAACTGTAAATTACCGCTCAACATCGACGACGCCAATTTACACTTACACGCGAAAGACCCTCCTTCACCATATACCGGCGCGACTGAGATGATGTTCTCTCTCACGCGCCTCGAATTTGCCAAGGCGCCAGGAAACGATAAGATGAGGGGCCAATCTTCAGAAACGAATCCCCAAGCGGTTGCAAGCGTTGCCGACCACCGGTTGTCGAGCTATCTCGAACGATTTTCCTCCCATATGGAGGATACCTACTTGAAATATTGCGACCCTAAAGTCCCACTTCATTACATGACTCTTCTCATGACGCGGGCGAATATCTGTAAGCTAAAGATAGTATCCGGCTTCTTCCGTGTTGCACTTACAGCACCTGCTCCCTTACCGACAGTCGAGAGGGAAGAACTCTTCATCGAAGCGATTAAGATGGTCGAGTATGATACCATGATGCAAGCAAGAGAAAGTTTACAGGGCTTCCTCTGGTATACTAATATGCATTTCCCATTCCCGGCTTATATATGCTTGCTTACCGAGCTGCGCCATCGTACGACCGGTGACTTATGCGAGCGTGCGTGGAAAACCATCTGCGAGCACGCTGACCGGAGGAAGATGACATCTCACGCGCGCAGTCCCATGCATCTATCCTTTAGTGCCCTCTTTGTAAAGGCGTGGGACGCGCGCGAGGCCGCAGAAGCCGCTCTCGGACGTACCCTAGCACCACCTCGCCTCATCACCCACATGAGACAAATCGCGGCTCGACTACCCAAGGCGATTAGAAAGAAGTCACCGGTACCAACGCCTTCGCCTAAGATCCCTGTCATAAGCGGTGCTTACGTTGCAACGGCACCGACGCCACCAGAACAACCGAACGTACCAGGTACCATACCCCTATACCCGGAAACCGACATATTCGGCGGTGGCATGCCGCAGATGGACATGAACCGGCAATTCGCGACCGCGTTCCCGGACGTCAACTTCGGCGGCGAGATGGACTGGAACTACTTGATGCAGGAATACGGTGGATTCATCGCCCATCCACCCCAGATGACCGCCTACGCGAATCAGGCGCCAATGCAAGACCCTAATCACCCTTCAACTGCTACGTGGCAGTGAATTGTATGTATGCATATCTGCACATTTTTTCGACTGATTGGCTGGCTACCTACCTACGTAGGTAGGTACCTAGGTATATAATGGATTCGGACATATAATGGATGAACGAGAGACGGGTTTAAGCGGAATAGGGCACATATCTACGTTAGGTTAGGTTAGGTTAGGTTAGATACTCAACTATTCCGGCATGTATATAGAGGTCTGTATATGGAAGGTCGGGACTCTACGGATATATTGGTAAAGGTTTATGTATTATATATAGCTTAGGTGGGTATATAACCAGTATTATGCGGATGCAAATAAGAGCAAGTGTGGTCAGCGATTGTGCGATGAATATAGATTGGGTGTTCCTGCATGGATTACTACAATGTTTGAAAGGGGTAGGATACGTAATAATTAGTCCTCCTATATAGGGGGGGCTTACTTACGTCTTCTGCCCATATATACTGAAGCATTCTTAAAACTGCAAGTATTAAACAGATACAGATAAATTGGGTCAAATATCGTGAGTTGTATGATATCCGAGCTACAAATAAAGGAAGTCATTATACGGAAAATGAAGATATTTCATGCTATTGCTTCACTTATAAAATTGGTAAGGGCCGTGTATGAGTTTTCTAGGGCTTGGTTTGATTATGGTAGTTAGAGGAGTCATAGACATCTTCTCATAACACTAATCTACCAGTTAATAAATTTCCCAGTATCCTTCCAGCAGCCCCTATTCCAATCAGCAAAAATAATGTTACCATCTCCGTCGTTTATATAATCATTCCCCTCTCTCTCCCCTTTTTTCTCTCCCCTTTCCCCATCTCCCTGGCCTTCTCCTGTTTCTTCTGTGCCTGAGGATAGTGTCTTATTGGTAGTAGTCTAAGCAAAAGCCCCACTATCTTGAACGTCGAACTGAGCTTATCTTATCTTGGTGACTCTCTTCATCCAACTTTGTTTTGGTGATACCCTGGGCCTTGTCGTACTGCCTTTCTGTGCAGCAGTACTTCGTGACCTTGCTTCCTTGTTGCCTAGGCAAATCGCTATATTTATTCTGATCTGCCTCTGTAGGGTTGGCCTAGTTCAAGTATTCCATGCGGTTAGTGGCGTCAAAATTACAGTGATCATTCCCTTGCAGTGTTGATAATGTACTCACTGCATGTAGAAAGCTTCTTCTTTGTTTACAACCCGGAGCAGCAGGTGTAATATTTGCCGGGCCTTTCACGTAGGCACTGCTACTCTTGTGGTTCACTACCAGGTAGCTAAGCAGAGTTACCCTCTGGCTGTGGGAAGTCAGCGCCCATTAAACAGGAAAGTAGAGGGAATATTTTTAGGGGAAGTCTTACCTTACGATGCATGGAGCATCGCAAAATATCATTGGTTGCCTTGATTTTCGTCGATTCAACCATGCTCCAGGATCAACAGACCATATTGACTAACAGACACTGGAATCATATCAATCAAGCATGCAGACCTCTGACTCATTCCCCACCAATTCTACTGCCCCAAGAGTTTTCCTCCGTACATTAAATCACGTTGCTATGCAATATGCAGTGTCAGGGACACGCTTGACTGACAAGCAAGAGGTGAAGTCGCAGCACAGAAGAGCCATTAGCAGTCATACTGGCGCTGGTGTTCTGTATAATGCTAGCTTGTCACAGGTACTTCCTCTGATGGCAGTAGAACGGTCTGAGGGAAGAGATCAACGGAATGATGTTGTTGAGTGAAGCAGTGGTTGTAGTCTCAATAGCAAGTGATTCTGGAAGTCAGTGGGATGATGATGACTTGAAGAGAAGGTGCTAGGTGGGTGTGATGATCAAGATTGAAGGTTAGGAAGGATTTTACCAATACTACTCGAGTTTGTTATTGTTGTTCCCTTTTTTTGTTGAATTGTTATGTTTCCTTGTTGTTGCTGGGTAGCCATCTTGATGTGTTAGGGTTACCAAGGGTGTTGAAGGTTGGGGACGATGTTTATTTACGCGTTTCTGAAAAGACGCGAAAGCTGTGCTATGAAATTGATGTTTTTCAAGTGGATCGTATAACTTGAAGCTAACAAGTAGTAATGGATAGGAGAAGCAAGTATAGATAAGTTGTCTCGAGTGCGCATTGGGACAGCCAAGGCTAACCTTCAAGTGTGAAATGGTGAAGTACGACAAGAAAAGACATGTTGCAATAACTGTTCCGTAATACATGTCTGTAGTGACGAATGGTTATGAAGAAAGGTAGTCAAGGTTTAAGCTTTGATGTGCTTATGAGGTAGGATAAGGTAGGATGAGGTAGGATGATGATTGTTATTGTTGTGTTTGGTAATGGGAAAGGAGAGGAAGTTTCCAGTTTGGGGCCGGGGTGGCCATGTTTATATAGGAATTCTGGGAGTGCGGTAATCAGCCTGGCAGAATCAGCCCGGCAGAATCAGCCAGGTAAAATCAGGAAGGAGCAGTTGATGTTAGGCAAGATCAACTAGGCAACGAGTAGGAATTTTAGTTTCTAGGGAAGGTGCCCTTACTTATGAAGAGGTTCCTTCCTCATCTCCTCGGAAACTTGGGCAACTACGATATGTAGGGCAGGTACGCCCACCATGTATGCAGATATTGTTCGTGCACATAAGTACCTACGTACCTACACACATACGCACCTACCTATCTCATGCTAATTCAAGTTCGAACATATCATTGCTCCTGCCAGATGGGATTTAGATAAAGTGATCTAGAATCAAGATGTACCCAAGAACTAAACGCATTTTTCTGTCCGTAGGTATGTACATGGGTACCCAAAACATAGGAACTTTTTATGCCTGAACGCCTCAGGGTAACGATTGGAAGACTCTACGTTGATACTGTATCTAAGTGTACATAAAATCAACAGGTACATGTAGTTAAAAGGTAGGTAGGTAGTTACGTATAAATTACCTGTCATCAGTTTGATAGTTACCGTACCCAGAGCAAATCGTCAAGGCGTAACCTACGAAGACATCATGCCCTTTACTCTGTCAACCCATGTGGCATTATGTTCTGTCTTCGGACGAATTATGTGTAATCTATTCGTGCGTCCTTAGCTAGAAAGTGGAGTTTAGTACAAACAAATGCTGTATGTTAAACATGTATATCGGGTAGTTGCCTTGCACCAGAAACCTGCCTATGATTCAAGCGTAAACACAAGGGTTCGATTTGTCCGTACCTTCCTCTCAAACTCAGTTAACTCCTAACACAACTCATAGACAAGCATGACAGATGCTTCATTTAATCCGAATTGGTGTAGTGGCTAACATTCGGGATTCTCGTTCCTGAGCCCGGGGTTCGATTCCCCGATTCGGAATTCTTTTTTGAACTTCTCTGATATGTGGTATACCGCAGTATTCTTTTTTATTTTGGACATCCTTTCATAACGTATTCTTTTCTATATCGGTTTGGTGCTATGCTGTTTCCGAGATAGAGTCCTTCTGCAGCTTTTACTCCATTTCTCTAATATTTGAGAGTCAATATCCATATAACCCCTTTTAAGATCTAGTGATTCATAATCTATTACCATAGACATACAGCTTCGCTTGTGCTACCAATAGCCTAGTATATCAGTATGAATATAAATAGGTAAGTTTATAGCAATACACAGCTGGTATTAATTGCTAAGATACATTATAAGGTAAAAGTCTAATACTCACGACATTGGTATATCAAATGACTCTTCAAGATCATTGGTTCCAAAGCAATTCGTAAGACGTGAAAAACATAGTTCTATTTATTGGCTAGAAAACCTGTCTCATAGTATAACAGATACATGGTATGACATATTACAAATTTCATATACGTCCAGGAGCCCCGAGCGGAGCGAGTTGACGAAACCTTCTCTAATTATATTATAGGTATATACATATAGGTAGGTACCTATACTTAGGTATCTATTAAACCCGTATGGAGAAACCCACCCGAAGTTTGTAGCCGTTTAAAGAGTAAGAGAAAATACTATATATATAATAACTAGGTACCTGGACACCTAGTTATTATATCTACCTAGGTAGGTTAGGTACCTAGATAGGTATCGAATGATGTATAATACGGAGAAACATAACAGCCAGATGCGCCAATCTGTTTTACCTAATCCTTGCATAGAATTCCTTTGATATGAGCTTTGTATTCGCTTGGCGAGGTATCTAGACGTGTCCCATAAATCATTATCGCTGACGGGCAGCCTTGAAGGGCGTGGAGAGATACTCCGTCGCCGAGAGCTGAAGGGCCGCTCATATCTGCTGTTATATCATTGGTTCAGCTATCCCTAGGATCCTCGTACATAAAACCGGTCTGCCCGCCACTCCTCCTCGATCCGAGATGGCGTATTCTCTGTATTTGTTATGATTACTTAAGTTACCTACTATCGTGAAGATGAAAGAGACAAAAGAACCAAATATGTCGGAAGCCGGATATAAGCCGAAAGTTCTCATCGTTGGCGCTGGTCTTGGTGGCCTGACTCTTGCCCAGACATTCCGGAAGAATGGAATCCCATTTGAGATCTTCGAGCGGGACGAGAACGAAGTTGCTAGAACCCAGGGCTGGTCCCTGACAATGCACACGTTAGTATTGGCTTCCCAATTATTATAACTGCCTGAATGCGGGTTTAAGCTATTTACCAAATCGCACAGCATTCTAGACGATCTACTCAAGGCTTTCCCAGATGATATGCCAAACCTTAAGGACTCGGCTCATCATCTTAACCCTCTTAACTTAGAGACTCAGGTCGTTTTCTATTTCCATAATGACCGTCTTGGCACGGAAAACTCTCCTTCTACTCCTACCTTACGCGTTAACCGTCTGCAACTCCGGCACTGGCTAGCAACCGGTCTCAACGTCCAGTATGGCAGGGTTGCAAGAAAGATCGAAAGGGTGGGCGATAAAATGATAGTCTCTTTTACTGACGGTACCGCCGCGATGGGTGACATCTTGATCGGTGCCGACGGCGCAAACAGCATTGGTACGTCCCTTTATCCCTATAAACAATCCATAGCAATAAAATGTCTAATACGTGTGCAGTAAGAGAGCATGTGCTGGGGAAGCCTAATAGCGAGGTGCTTAGGAATGTTCCGCTCAGCTCCATAACTGGGGAGACCACGCTGAGCGGTGAATTATTCGCGCGTCAGCTGGAGATCGCACATAGCATGGCCATCATACCAGTTACCAGCGGCGACGGCTGGAACAACCTATTCATGGGTCTCACCAAGATAGCGCCAGATGGAAAATCGGGAGAATTCTTCTGGGTTATCGGATGGCACGATCCCCTCGCTGAACAAACTGGTCGCGCGGCAGTCAACAGCCTCCCCAAGGCGGATCGTCTAGAAATCGTGAAGAAGATGACCGCGCACATGGATCCTAAGTTCAGGCGCATCATTTATGAGACAGCGCCAGAAGGCATTCGGGAGATTGGATGGATTCCAACGGACTGCCATCTTGACGAGATACCGCTTGGAAGGGCGATTCTGCTCGGCGACGCTGTGCACTTGATGCTGCCATTCAAGGCCGAAGGAGGCATACATGCGATGCGTGATGCGCTGCTCCTGGGCAAGTTGATACCTGAGCTCGATGGGTCGGATGACGCCGCCATACACCGCCTACTCACTACATTCTACGGCGAGGTACTGCCTCGGGGGGCTGAAGCTGTTGAACTGTCCAGATACTTCCAGCACAACTTTAGGAAGGATAAGACGGGTGTTAGAGCCTGGGGGCATCCGGTCAAGAGCCTGCCAGATGAGAAACTGGAGTTTGGACCTGAAGGAGTCCGTAGCGTAACGAAGGGGATCTGCAAACTAAGCTTAGTCCCGAGTATATAGGGGGTATAGTAATTCCTTCTACTTATCGACAATATAATATAGAATGCGTACCGACGTCTTATTTAATAGCTGGGTCCGTTCATGTGCATCCTCAAAGGTTATCACCCACAGCTGCATTAACAAGACTACCACTAAACAGGGTTAAGGGGTAAAGGGGTAAAGGGGTAAAGGAGATGTTCCCAGCTTCACCAAAATAGCACGATTCGGGGTCGTGAGATCAAAGACTAGACGTGGTGATAAGATATTTCAATAGTATCAGACAACTTTCTAATCGCTAGTTTGCGCAGCTATGTATGTACAAAAAGAAACAAAAACAAAAACCTCATATGTTCCCTGGGTATGTATGCATTTCCCCCATCCGTCCCCCCCCTGCCAAGAATAAAAACACCACCAAGATCATTAGACATTACCCCCGCATATCCCAACATCATCGCACGTCTGGGTATAACTCCCGCTCGTCCTCCGTCTTAGTATGCTCGATCGGAACGCCGCGTATTTCCTCGCTCGCCGCGTCGTCATTCGCCTCGCTCTTGCGGCCCTGCTCGAGCGCCCGCTCGGCCTTGAGCTGCTTCTCGGTGTCGCCGTGTTTCTTGCCGCGCGCGCGGATCTTGTCGAAGGCCTCGCGCGTGAGGTCCTGCCGGAACATGCGCTCTACCACGTCCTTCTTGCGCGTCCGCCGCCCCCCGATGCTGATTAGGATCCCGGCCGTGATGTTGACCGCGATGGAACAGCTTAGGATCGTCGCTGTCACTGCCATCGGCCGTACGTTGGAGTCGATGCCATATGTCGTTGCCCCCAGCGCGATCTGCAGGCACGAATGTATATCAAGCAGCGTTACGATTGCCACTAGCCAGTTCAGGGGAAATGCGTAGTGTGTCTTGGTCTCGTGTGGCTTGTAGAAAGTGTGCGATTTGGCAAACTTGGTCTGATGATACACAAGTCGCGCTTCCTGCTGCGGCGACAGGACCGACAGCTCATCGCGCGCCGCCTCGAGATCCGAATTCGTCGGTAAGTCATTCTTGTCGCGCAGTGTCCCCATGCGCTTTCTTCTCCGGAGCTTCCATGTCAGACGATGGTAGTGTGCTATGTAAGCCATGTGGTAGGTGTCGATAGCACGAAAAGGCACCAAGCCGTCTCCAACGATGCCGAAGAGAGCGACCAAAATGTAGTCGATAATATTGATGGCGTAAACCTGCTCTTCCCCGACATAGATCCAACCGATCAAGAATAATACCCAAGCCAAGCCGAAAAGTGTGATAAGCGTCGCGTATAGCGTCACAAAAAATCCAAGGGGTTTTCTGACGTACTGTCCAAAAGCCTTCATGCTGCGCTTGAACCGGGAACGTCGTGAATGCAACATATGGCGCACGTAGTCATTAAGCTCATCCTTTTCCTCATCGGTCCACCCGTCCAAGAATACTCCATCGGGGAGAACAGCATGGTTAAAGTTAAACCCTTCTTCCTCTTTGTCCTTTTCCTCTTGAATAGTTCTATGTTCGGGCGCTATCGAAAGTTGATATGTTGGCCGCCGGTTGATAAACCTGCCGAGGGATGGCACAAATAGAGAATTTTGTATGTTGGTCACGTTGTTGAACGTAGACACTTCAGGATCTGATCGAGTGGTTAGCTCTATGGATGAATCCTTTATGAATATTTTATGAGTGCTTTATAAAGCACCTCTTACCTATTACATCGAGAAGATCGGCAATATCCTGATCTAGTTCGGTTCGCCCCTTCGACGTGTGGAAAAGGGCTGTGCTAGTCGGTCTCGCATTCTCAAGAATTGGGGCCATACGAGAGCCATTTGTTCCCCTGCGAGGTCGTATCACTGCTAAGCCTGGCCGCTGACGGCCTTGGCCTATAGGATCGGAACTAGAACGACGACGTCCATTATCTTGGTATTCGCGCTGCTGTTGGTGTTGCGACGGTGAAGTTGCCGTCTCTGTTGCTGATCGTTCCAAGTTGTGAAGCTGAACATGCGACTCATTAGACATTATTGGTTTTTGGAAACGGTCATAACGCGTCCATCAAACTTTAGTACGCGAAAATCAGATCTGACTCGGGGCATTCTGATATTAAAAGACGTTTAGCACAAGTTAGAGGACATATATTGCCCCTAACCACGTTGCTATAACAATGACATCATATATCGCGGGTCGGTTCCAGGGATTAAAACCTGGCTGTAACTCTACGTACTACGTAGGTACATATGCAGATAGGGAGAGTAGTAAACTACTACATGTAAGTAGCTTATCGTCCTTATCTAATCAGCGCCTAACTTCATCAGGGCATACCTCCTTTCTAGCATATCCTCTAGGTACCCATTTGGGTATAGCGGCATACGTATAACCGTACAAGATATCTTCAACTTTCCAATTTGAACTGTAATCCCCACCAAGTTTTTTGTTCATACAACAATTGCGATTACTGTTAACCAAAGAGTCCTTGATTTCATCCAAAAAATCGCATTTAACAATATAATATATCCATAAGCATAAGA